TCTTAACAACTACAAATCCGCCATCGGTTGGTGTGTCATACAATCCGACACCGTTTCCAACATCCCAGTATGCGACATTGGTTGGTACACTTCCACCTGCCTACTGTTTGATATCTCTTAAAGGTGACGAGGGAACGTTTGGCGATAAGCTTACTTTGGAGACACCGCTGAAGCCATCTGAAAGCCCTACGCCGACGACTGTGCCGACGTCCTCGCCGTTACCTTCAGCAACTACACCCACGACTACACCTACCAGCCCACCCGAGACCACAGGCAGCTGTGTTAAATACAAAAAATGGAAGATCACAGTTCGTAAGGAGCACTTCGTAGAGATGACCCTTGAAAGTATCAATCTGGGTCCTGGAGCATGCCTGTATAACATGTTTTTGATTGTAAAGGATGCTGATGCCATGTCAAGTAATGTACTTCATATTCAATGTGAAGCAGATGCTGTTCCTCGACGTATATGGTCCAGTAGCAATGTAATGGTAGTAGAGAGATATGGCAGGAGTTCACGATCGACTGCAAATACAGGATTCCATGCAAGCTACCAAGCAATACCTTTAAGCAAGGGAGGTCTGTATATCGTTTATTACCAACCCAAATTCGCACTTAGCCGATCCGAAGCCGTGTCGACTGCCCTGATATCTTTCAATATCAAGTCACTGACTTGATCTGGCCACGATATCACGGTCACTTGAATGAGTTTGAGTACGGTAAATACCTAATCGTACCTTTTTGGTACGCTTCGCCTGCATATCAGGCTCGTTTGGTCTCGCTATGGGTATTTTGGCTCGACTACTTCTCGTCAAAATACGAACCATGCCTCGAACAAACTCGCCTTACATGTATATGCCACCGAAGCCCACCAAAAAGGTACGATTAGGTATAACTATTTGATAGATTATTAAATGTAGAATTTTCCGTGATAGAAAATAATTTCAATGGACATGACAATGATTACATTTTTATTGGCTGATCTGCACACTTTGCACAATTAACCTTTGTCAATAAAGCACAATAATGCGGGGGAACTAACAACACACGACCCTGTCTAGATAGATGATTAACAATTTTTGCACGAGGTTGAGTGAAAGGAACTTTATTCAAAAATAAGAACAAATGTAAAATGCCATATCCAAAAAGACGTTTAAGATTGCTCCCTACCTCGACCTTGATTATTCTGGATATCACAAAAACCTCATCCAATAATTGTTTATTATCTTGAAGAACACTTTAACAAGCTTCCTTTTTTTAATGCCACCATTGATAAACTGAGGGCCTGTTGAATGATTTCATCACAAATTTCAATCAAAGTCGATTTTTTTTTCTGGCGTGAGGAAACTCGAAGAGTTCAAGTGGTATCAGAACAGTAATCAATTAATTTTATCTGCAATTGAATTTTTCTGGAATAACAATAGTTCTGCAAAATCATTGGACTGATGCAGAGCTAATACGTTAGTTGCTTGTAATCGACCGTATTAAAGACAGAGCATTCATCGTAAGCCGCTGAATAGAAAAGTCTCCTCCATAAACTACTGAACTGAACCGTCCATGAGAATGGACACTGCCACCATCAACAAGATTTGTTATCCAACATGTTCTGAGGGAGCTAGACGAAACTTGAGGCGGAGGAGGAGGAGGAAAAGAAGAAAGGAAAGACGTGTCCTTCCATTTAGTGGTAGATTCGATTGGCTGTTAATTTCTAAACTACTACCTAAATGAAAGCAGTAAAACCAACGACATACTTACAAATACACTAGGTTATTTAACCATTGAGACTGTTTGAACGAATAGACCATGTTCGTATTCTCCGTGTTGGACTGGAACTAGCTTGCAATTGAGGCTCATGCGGGGGAATATCATTAAAAAGAGATTAATGTCATTAGCATTTGAAAACACTCCCCGCATTAGCCTCAGTTGCAAGCTAGTTCCAGTCCAATACTGGGAATACCAACAATGCCTTTTGTGGTGATTGAGTTGTTGGAAAGATCTCTACAAGAAATGCAGTCGTTAGCACTATGGAACTACTAAAGATACCATAAACAGTGGCTCTGACCGAATGGACTGCTTACATGTAACAAGCGTACCACATCGGAATAAAATGTACCTACAAAATTAATAACAAGTTCCTTTAGCTTGCGACTCGAAAGGAGACAATACCTGCGAACAGAGACTTTAAACTAAACGTAGGAAAAAGGTCACCTATCCTTGGAATCAGATACTTCCAATATAATCCTACTGCATGGCTTCTGCCAACCAGACGTTATTGGCAATGATCCTCCCTTATCTTAAAATAACCGAAGTATTATAAGAGTACGCAGATTTGAAAACAGGCTTATTATATATTTAAGCAGTCAGTTATAGAAAGTAGGGATATGATGGCCACTGCTGTGTACTAACAGAGCAACTCTACTCTTGGCACGTGTTGCAGAATTTTCAAGTTCGTTGTTTGTAATCCATCTCTTTCTTCTTCAGTCTCTGGGCACTTTCCATTCGATTAAAAATTCTAGTTAGAATTTAGCAAATTTCCGGTGGAAAAGAATAGAACAGCATTTTCCGAAATTTCCAGAAAGGAGAACGATTTCTCGAGGTATACTTCTGAATGTAAAGAGAGTTCAGTCCTGAGGTAGCGTGCGATTTGATGAAATATATCAAACACGAAAGACCGTGTTTGACTACATTTCGAAACACCGAGAAGGGAGTTAAAAAGACGACACTTAGTGGAATACTTTGATGAGCTTGGAGGTGTTTGGAAATGTGGTCAAACACTGTCTTGAGTGCTTGATGAATCTTCTCAACCGAAACTAAAACTATGGAAAATACGGAAAATTAAAATGATAAAAATCTATGGTATTTTGTTAAGATATATCCAAACATCGTCACGGTCATGATTTTCTCTGTTCAAACTTGATGGATTATTACTGACTTTGAGAAGGTTGTACTGCAAAACAAAAACGACTGAAACGGTTTCGTTTAACCTCAGCAAATTTCGTATGATAGTTACAGGTATCTTGCCTCTCGTGGTACTCCTTTTGGAACTGTTGTCAGTTACGACAGTTGACAAGAATCTAAGGAAAGAGCTGCAGGATTGAAAGAACAGCTACAAACTATAACCAGTTTGCAAAGAAAGAGGGGGTAAAAAAGGGTATAAAAACGTTTATTCTTGTTCCAACCAACAAGTTGGCTCAAAATTTGTTTAATAGGCAAGGATGAGAAATGAAAAGAAGACGATTCACTAGAAAATTGGATAATTCAGAACATTGAGAAATGAGTCATATGAATTTCACAGTGTTTAGATTATGTCCCGATTTATCTCATAAGGTCTCATATTAAACGACCACTTGCCCATCAGGACGCTAAGCGAGAAGGGATAAATGCCACTCTGAGTTATACTGAGACCGAATTTGGCTTCGACGATGAAGCAGGTTCAAACCAATTTATATTTGTGTAAATTGCTTTCTCTGTTGTTCGCTGTACCTGTGTAAACACCTGTGTATATGAAAATAATGATATTAGAAAAAAACATGATTTATACTCAACGTAATATTTGCATAAGAAGAATAGAACGACAGCATTGTTGACCTGGATGTGCTTTCTTGTTTTCTTATTTTTCAAGGCTTTGCCAGTTGTCAAAGATTGCCATATTTCACAACCGAGCAATAATTGAGTCATTAGATCAAGAGCGAACACGGCGCTATGAGCTATTGGCGGAAGAAAAGAAGCAAGACTGCTCATAATGCCAGCATGATAAAACCTTAGGACTGTAGAAAATACTGTTTACTTTCATTACCTTAAAAAGTAATTTTTTGCGCGTATTTAAAAGCTGAAACAAGATGTGGTGCTTTGGAAGACAGAAGTTACTTCTCAATATTTGGAATTTATGCTGGAAAATAACTCGACAAGTAAGCCAAAAATAAAGGAAGTTATCGCCTACCATTTTGCCATCCGACTGATAGCAAAACCTAAAAGGCAGAAAATTGCAGCAGACTTTTCTTGTCCACAGAGATTATGTCGACATGTGCAGCAAATGAAAAATTGAACTGACTCCCTTTTGTTTAATTATGGCGTGAGATAGGATAGAGGGAATAATTTGCATAAGTCCAGTCCTTAATTAATTTTTGTCATCCGTCAAATCTTATCAAACTCAGGTGTTAGTGGGAGACAAGATCAATATTGTAATTTATTGTCAATCGACCAATCAGAGAAAGACGATGGCAGCAAAATCTAGAGTACTATTTGCCTTGTTTATTTAGAGTGTGGGCTGCGTTTTTAACGGTAAAGATGACCAGTAATTCGTCTTCAGTTGAGTTCACCATTACACAAGAAAAATGTTTGCTTCCTAGCTAAGAGTCCCGATCATTTAATAATGGCGTATAGTAATGGCAAAAGTAGATTCAGATGTATCTAGAATAATTCAAACAAGATTTAGATGGCTGTCATATGGAATTTCCAGATGTTTGTGCCAGTGAAATCCACTTTCCTTGATCTCATACCAACAAAAAGGTAATTATTATGAACGGCATTTTCCGGGTTTCTTTGGTTTGATGCGACTCTTTACATTAGAACATTTAATTTTTCTGGTGGAAACAACACGGACATGCAAGAAAATAGATTTATATTTTCTTTCTCGGTTTTTCGCTATTTGGTAAAATGTTGAAATGGAGTTAACATTAAACGCTACTGAAACCTCCACATTTCAGCGTTTAAATTATTTGCTCTACGAAAAACGAATCATTGCTGAATTCTCTCCGAGTATGCGATTAGCATAACAAGAGCTTAAAAAAACATTTTTAATTAAACAAAAGCAAACTCTCAAAATAAACTTAAAAAAAAACAAATTATAAACTTAAACTTAAATTCAAATTTATAAATCAGTTCAGCTCACCTTAAAGAAAGTGAAATAAAATAAAGAAAAAAGATGTACCGATGTGTTTGTCTTTGCAAGCTTGCCAACACTTTTACGACAGAACAAAGATTTTTTTTTTGCTACAACAGATCCAACCATCTACGTATACAGCTGTACACACTGAATTAATTGCTAGCGGAGGCCTATTATATTGCAGTATAAAAAGTCACACTCGCTCGCTTGCAGCTAGCGATTAAACAAACATTAATGGGAAACATAAATGAGAACTGCTCTTTGTACTCCTCTAAGATGTCTTGTGATTAAGTATTTTGGCAAGATTCCAAGTCGATCTTGTCCATCGATTTTGAATCTTAATTTGTAATCCACTTTTAACGATAATTCCACCTCGCCGTCAGACCACGAAACGTAATCAATTTTGTTGTCTCTACCAGAATCTTCTTTCGGCCCCGGATTATGACATTTTCGGAGCTGTTATTTCTTCGATTCCGTTCAAAGATGGCGGAATGAAGAATTATCCAGGCCTTAAGTGCGTGCGTAACCTGAGTTGCGGTGTGGACGGTAGACATTTAATTCGTTTTCCAACATGGAATTTTCCTGTTGCGCTGTCACAGTGAAAAAGCCGTTTCCACATTTATACGGCGTAGATCAGGTTCCGAGGCTTCAATTTGCATTTTTAACCCATGTTTTAACTTAAAAGTCTGATTACAAAATTGTTAATAAACAAATGTGCATAAAGATGACAGTGTTTGAAATTACTATCACTGGGAACCATATTGGTTCTCAATAGAATGTCATCGCGGTGCAGGATTTGTCGAATGAACGGACTTGAATTTTTTTGAACTTAAAATAACATCTGCGTATTGCAAACAAACGTTGTTAAGAATTGTTTAAATATGGCGCGGAAGCTGAAATGATGTAACGGTTGTGTAATTTTGGCTTTCGCAAAGTCTCAACTAAGGTACCTATTTTGTCTTATTGCTTGCTGAACAAATATGAAAACCATTACTGGTTTTGTGTTCTGGTTTTTATCGCAACTTGTGTGGAAGAAAGGTAAGTGATCTTGATATTTTAATTTTGTAATCGATGAAAGTGCGCTCTCGAAGAATATTTATAACCAGTAAGAATTAATAAGAGGAGTGACATTACTAAAAACGACTGAACATTGCTGGAAGAAGGAGAAGAGAACAGCCCAATTTATATTTAGACGGGAAAATAGTCACAGACGGGATTTCGTGTGACAGAATACCGTCTAAAAGGAATTTGTGGATCGCGCGGTAAATCGTGTTAACATCGCGACTGAACGTCGTCGTGATTTTCGCATCCAGAATGATTTAAGAGAGATTTTAGTCAAAGACGAGTTTTCCGTTTTATTTGCCAGTTGATTTGGACAGAAAAGTAGCTATATAGACGAGTAAATCTGAGATAGGAAACTCGTCCTTCACCGGATTCATATTAGATAAGTTTTCCGTCAGAAGACAAGTTTCCCGTCCAAGACGGCTTTAATTCCGTCTCTACTATGAAATCAATTCGGCAAATGTTAAATAAGCTGCTCGGTGGCTGCAAACGATGCACATCTGTTGTTTTTTTCTGAACAGCGCTCGTGGCCTTTGGCATGTCCTAATCCTTTCAAAATATGTCAGCAAATTTAACAAGTGTTTTTTTTTTAGTATTTCTTGTGCCAGCAGTCTTCTTTTTTTAAGTCAATGTATCGGAGCACTCGTGAATCTCGCCTAGCATATGATAAATTCCACCAAAAAATGTTCCCGACCAAAAATATCTGTTAGTTCAAGGCTTACTACCCACACTCCCATCTCTCTTTTGTAAGTGCGTCGTGTGATGATCTGCAATCTTGAAATTGATTTTTTATGCAAGGTGGAATAGTTTCAAATAAACGAATCTTTACATTTATTGATTAGGTCTTAAGAAATGCAAGGACTCTTGCTTTTCGCCTTGGGTTTTTATTTCACATAGTACGTGCCGATTGCATGTTTTGACGCGGTATTAATCCCCATTAAAATTTGTTTAAAACTTGCCCTCAAGGAAACTAATTGCTGCCGTTAATAGTTTTCCTAAGATAAAGCATCTGCCTTATTTTTCAACCCCAAATAAAAGAAAAATATATCGTCGGTTAAGGCCCCTCCAATCCCATAATACGCCGGAGTAAATTTGAAAACGCAGCGTTATTTCTACTGTTAGGCCTACCGTCCACACTGATCCGTCACTAAAGCGGAGTTTATCGAAAACGCTCTTCAAACCGAATTTGGAAACTCCAGCTTTGCGTCTTTAGTTTGGGCGGAAAACATTTTGAAAACGGAGCTTTGCGAAACGGTGACGTCAGACGATAATAATGTGATTTCCCTGACGGAGTCTTAATCAAACACAAATCCAAAATGACGGTGGTTGTCGTGGTTTTCAAATTTCTCCGATGAATATGTGGACGAAAAGCGTTTAATGCGTTTTCAGAGTTAAAACGCTGTTTCCAAATTTCACCGGATCTAGAGTAGTGTAAAGGGGGCCTAAATTTAAATACTATAATAATCTGCACGTGCAAGGGAAGAATTTTTTTCTCCAATCAAACTGTCCATGGAAACGGTACATAATAATAATAATAATAAATAATGATAATGACTTTTTTAACGTGTCAAATTGTTTTAATCGAGGAATAACCCTCTACTAATATAGGACACCTATCTATTAAGAGAAATTACAAAACCGAAGAACAATTTAAAAATTAGTGTATTTACAAGTTACAAAACATAAGAATAATTCAGAAATGAGTCTCACAAATTTCATAAAAGTACTGACAAAAAAACTGACGAAATTGTCTTCACAGTCTTAACAACTACAAATCCGCCATCGGTTGGTGTGTCATACAATCCGACACCGTTTCCAACATCCCAGTATGCGACATTGGTTGGTACACTTCCACCTGCCTACTGTTTGATATCTCTTAAAGGTGACGAGGGAACGTTTGGCGATAAGCTTACTTTGGAGACACCGCTGAAGCCATCTGAAAGCCCTACGCCGACGACTGTGCCGACGTCCTCGCCGTTACCTTCAGCAACTACACCCACGACTACACCTACCAGCCCACCCGAGACCACAGGCAGCTGTGTTAAATACAAAAAATGGAAGATCACAGTTCGTAAGGAGCACTTCGTAGAGATGACCCTTGAAAGTATCAATCTGGGTCCTGGAGCATGCCTGTATAACATGTTTTTGATTGTAAAGGATGCTGATGCCATGTCAAGTAATGTACTTCATATTCAATGTGAAGCAGATGCTGTTCCTCGACGTATATGGTCCAGTAGCAATGTAATGGTAGTAGAGAGATATGGCAGGAGTTCACGATCGACTGCAAATACAGGATTCCATGCAAGCTACCAAGCAATACCTTTAAGCAAGGGAGGTCTGTATATCGTTTATTACCAACCCAAATTCGCACTTAGCCGATCCGAAGCCGTGTCGACTGCCCTGATATCTTTCAATATCAAGTCACTGACTTGATCTGGCCACGATATCACGGTCACTTGAATGAGTTTGAGTACGGTAAATACCTAATCGTACCTTTTTGGTACGCTTCGCCTGCATATCAGGCTCGTTTGGTCTCGCTATGGGTATTTTGGCTCGACTACTTCTCGTCAAAATACGAACCATGCCTCGAACAAACTCGCCTTACATGTATATGCCACCGAAGCCCACCAAAAAGGTACGATTAGGTATAACTATTTGATAGATTATTAAATGTAGAATTTTCCGTGATAGAAAATAATTTCAATGGACATGACAATGATTACATTTTTATTGGCTGATCTGCACACTTTGCACAATTAACCTTTGTCAATAAAGCACAATAATGCGGGGGAACTAACAACACACGACCCTGTCTAGATAGATGATTAACAATTTTTGCACGAGGTTGAGTGAAAGGAACTTTATTCAAAAATAAGAACAAATGTAAAATGCCATATCCAAAAAGACGTTTAAGATTGCCTGAACAGATAAAATGTACTCGGCCGTATTGCCTTTATCCGTTTTGGTCAATTTTATGGCATCATACTCTGATCATGTGACTTATTAAAAACATCATCATGTTATCCATGGCATGAACTCAGTCTTGTGAAAATTTTGTATTATTAGACAAAATCTGTTGATGGCTATAGGTCATTAACTATTTCCCCCCTCGTCCCAGGGTGTTGTGAAGATGACTTTTAAAAACACATAGACACTGAAGAGGGGTGTACTTTGAGGTGCTGTCAATTTCCATGGCCCACTTGGCCAGCTCCACTGCCACCCCATCATTATTCCCTAAGGTCTAAGGAACTTTACTGGGCGAGTCAAAGTTTGCCAGCTTGTCGAGTAAACGAAATCATTTTTTAACCCCCTTTCCCAGCGTGGGCACCCGGACTAATTAGTAACTTTCTCAAATCAGTTGAAATTTGGTATGTAAATTAAATCGTGACAGTTGTATTTTCATAACGGTCAAAAACAAAAAAGACAAAACTTATTTACTTCAAGAAGATATATAACTCAGAGAAATGATCAAAGAGTTAATTACAAACTGTATGAATATGAAATCAAAGCAAGTTTCCCCTCTTTTCCCTACCTCGACCTTGATTATTCTGGATATCACAAAAACCTCATCCAATAATTGTTTATTATCTTGAAGAACACTTTAACAAGCTTCCTTTTTTTAATGCCACCATTGATAAACTGAGGGCCTGTTGAATGATTTCATCACAAATTTCAATCAAAGTCGATTTTTTTTTCTGGCGTGAGGAAACTCGAAGAGTTCAAGTGGTATCAGAACAGTAATCAATTAATTTTATCTGCAATTGAATTTTTCTGGAATAACAATAGTTCTGCAAAATCATTGGACTGATGCAGAGCTAATACGTTAGTTGCTTGTAATCGACCGTATTAAAGACAGAGCATTCATCGTAAGCCGCTGAATAGAAAAGTCTCCTCCATAAACTACTGAACTGAACCGTCCATGAGAATGGACACTGCCACCATCAACAAGATTTGTTATCCAACATGTTCTGAGGGAGCTAGACGAAACTTGAGGCGGAGGAGGAGGAGGAAAAGAAGAAAGGAAAGACGTGTCCTTCCATTTAGTGGTAGATTCGATTGGCTGTTAATTTCTAAACTACTACCTAAATGAAAGCAGTAAAACCAACGACATACTTACAAATACACTAGGTTATTTAACCATTGAGACTGTTTGAACGAATAGACCATGTTCGTATTCTCCGTGTTGGACTGGAACTAGCTTGCAATTGAGGCTCATGCGGGGGAATATCATTAAAAAGAGATTAATGTCATTAGCATTTGAAAACACTCCCCGCATTAGCCTCAGTTGCAAGCTAGTTCCAGTCCAATACTGGGAATACCAACAATGCCTTTTGTGGTGATTGAGTTGTTGGAAAGATCTCTACAAGAAATGCAGTCGTTAGCACTATGGAACTACTAAAGATACCATAAACAGTGGCTCTGACCGAATGGACTGCTTACATGTAACAAGCGTACCACATCGGAATAAAATGTACCTACAAAATTAATAACAAGTTCCTTTAGCTTGCGACTCGAAAGGAGACAATACCTGCGAACAGAGACTTTAAACTAAACGTAGGAAAAAGGTCACCTATCCTTGGAATCAGATACTTCCAATATAATCCTACTGCATGGCTTCTGCCAACCAGACGTTATTGGCAATGATCCTCCCTTATCTTAAAATAACCGAAGTATTATAAGAGTACGCAGATTTGAAAACAGGCTTATTATATATTTAAGCAGTCAGTTATAGAAAGTAGGGATATGATGGCCACTGCTGTGTACTAACAGAGCAACTCTACTCTTGGCACGTGTTGCAGAATTTTCAAGTTCGTTGTTTGTAATCCATCTCTTTCTTCTTCAGTCTCTGGGCACTTTCCATTCGATTAAAAATTCTAGTTAGAATTTAGCAAATTTCCGGTGGAAAAGAATAGAACAGCATTTTCCGAAATTTCCAGAAAGGAGAACGATTTCTCGAGGTATACTTCTGAATGTAAAGAGAGTTCAGTCCTGAGGTAGCGTGCGATTTGATGAAATATATCAAACACGAAAGACCGTGTTTGACTACATTTCGAAACACCGAGAAGGGAGTTAAAAAGACGACACTTAGTGGAATACTTTGATGAGCTTGGAGGTGTTTGGAAATGTGGTCAAACACTGTCTTGAGTGCTTGATGAATCTTCTCAACCGAAACTAAAACTATGGAAAATACGGAAAATTAAAATGATAAAAATCTATGGTATTTTGTTAAGATATATCCAAACATCGTCACGGTCATGATTTTCTCTGTTCAAACTTGATGGATTATTACTGACTTTGAGAAGGTTGTACTGCAAAACAAAAACGACTGAAACGGTTTCGTTTAACCTCAGCAAATTTCGTATGATAGTTACAGGTATCTTGCCTCTCGTGGTACTCCTTTTGGAACTGTTGTCAGTTACGACAGTTGACAAGAATCTAAGGAAAGAGCTGCAGGATTGAAAGAACAGCTACAAACTATAACCAGTTTGCAAAGAAAGAGGGGGTAAAAAAGGGTATAAAAACGTTTATTCTTGTTCCAACCAACAAGTTGGCTCAAAATTTGTTTAATAGGCAAGGATGAGAAATGAAAAGAAGACGATTCACTAGAAAATTGGATAATTCAGAACATTGAGAAATGAGTCATATGAATTTCACAGTGTTTAGATTATGTCCCGATTTATCTCATAAGGTCTCATATTAAACGACCACTTGCCCATCAGGACGCTAAGCGAGAAGGGATAAATGCCACTCTGAGTTATACTGAGACCGAATTTGGCTTCGACGATGAAGCAGGTTCAAACCAATTTATATTTGTGTAAATTGCTTTCTCTGTTGTTCGCTGTACCTGTGTAAACACCTGTGTATATGAAAATAATGATATTAGAAAAAAACATGATTTATACTCAACGTAATATTTGCATAAGAAGAATAGAACGACAGCATTGTTGACCTGGATGTGCTTTCTTGTTTTCTTATTTTTCAAGGCTTTGCCAGTTGTCAAAGATTGCCATATTTCACAACCGAGCAATAATTGAGTCATTAGATCAAGAGCGAACACGGCGCTATGAGCTATTGGCGGAAGAAAAGAAGCAAGACTGCTCATAATGCCAGCATGATAAAACCTTAGGACTGTAGAAAATACTGTTTACTTTCATTACCTTAAAAAGTAATTTTTTGCGCGTATTTAAAAGCTGAAACAAGATGTGGTGCTTTGGAAGACAGAAGTTACTTCTCAATATTTGGAATTTATGCTGGAAAATAACTCGACAAGTAAGCCAAAAATAAAGGAAGTTATCGCCTACCATTTTGCCATCCGACTGATAGCAAAACCTAAAAGGCAGAAAATTGCAGCAGACTTTTCTTGTCCACAGAGATTATGTCGACATGTGCAGCAAATGAAAAATTGAACTGACTCCCTTTTGTTTAATTATGGCGTGAGATAGGATAGAGGGAATAATTTGCATAAGTCCAGTCCTTAATTAATTTTTGTCATCCGTCAAATCTTATCAAACTCAGGTGTTAGTGGGAGACAAGATCAATATTGTAATTTATTGTCAATCGACCAATCAGAGAAAGACGATGGCAGCAAAATCTAGAGTACTATTTGCCTTGTTTATTTAGAGTGTGGGCTGCGTTTTTAACGGTAAAGATGACCAGTAATTCGTCTTCAGTTGAGTTCACCATTACACAAGAAAAATGTTTGCTTCCTAGCTAAGAGTCCCGATCATTTAATAATGGCGTATAGTAATGGCAAAAGTAGATTCAGATGTATCTAGAATAATTCAAACAAGATTTAGATGGCTGTCATATGGAATTTCCAGATGTTTGTGCCAGTGAAATCCACTTTCCTTGATCTCATACCAACAAAAAGGTAATTATTATGAACGGCATTTTCCGGGTTTCTTTGGTTTGATGCGACTCTTTACATTAGAACATTTAATTTTTCTGGTGGAAACAACACGGACATGCAAGAAAATAGATTTATATTTTCTTTCTCGGTTTTTCGCTATTTGGTAAAATGTTGAAATGGAGTTAACATTAAACGCTACTGAAACCTCCACATTTCAGCGTTTAAATTATTTGCTCTACGAAAAACGAATCATTGCTGAATTCTCTCCGAGTATGCGATTAGCATAACAAGAGCTTAAAAAAACATTTTTAATTAAACAAAAGCAAACTCTCAAAATAAACTTAAAAAAAAACAAATTATAAACTTAAACTTAAATTCAAATTTATAAATCAGTTCAGCTCACCTTAAAGAAAGTGAAATAAAATAAAGAAAAAAGATGTACCGATGTGTTTGTCTTTGCAAGCTTGCCAACACTTTTACGACAGAACAAAGATTTTTTTTTTGCTACAACAGATCCAACCATCTACGTATACAGCTGTACACACTGAATTAATTGCTAGCGGAGGCCTATTATATTGCAGTATAAAAAGTCACACTCGCTCGCTTGCAGCTAGCGATTAAACAAACATTAATGGGAAACATAAATGAGAACTGCTCTTTGTACTCCTCTAAGATGTCTTGTGATTAAGTATTTTGGCAAGATTCCAAGTCGATCTTGTCCATCGATTTTGAATCTTAATTTGTAATCCACTTTTAACGATAATTCCACCTCGCCGTCAGACCACGAAACGTAATCAATTTTGTTGTCTCTACCAGAATCTTCTTTCGGCCCCGGATTATGACATTTTCGGAGCTGTTATTTCTTCGATTCCGTTCAAAGATGGCGGAATGAAGAATTATCCAGGCCTTAAGTGCGTGCGTAACCTGAGTTGCGGTGTGGACGGTAGACATTTAATTCGTTTTCCAACATGGAATTTTCCTGTTGCGCTGTCACAGTGAAAAAGCCGTTTCCACATTTATACGGCGTAGATCAGGTTCCGAGGCTTCAATTTGCATTTTTAACCCATGTTTTAACTTAAAAGTCTGATTACAAAATTGTTAATAAACAAATGTGCATAAAGATGACAGTGTTTGAAATTACTATCACTGGGAACCATATTGGTTCTCAATAGAATGTCATCGCGGTGCAGGATTTGTCGAATGAACGGACTTGAATTTTTTTGAACTTAAAATAACATCTGCGTATTGCAAACAAACGTTGTTAAGAATTGTTTAAATATGGCGCGGAAGCTGAAATGATGTAACGGTTGTGTAATTTTGGCTTTCGCAAAGTCTCAACTAAGGTACCTATTTTGTCTTATTGCTTGCTGAACAAATATGAAAACCATTACTGGTTTTGTGTTCTGGTTTTTATCGCAACTTGTGTGGAAGAAAGGTAAGTGATCTTGATATTTTAATTTTGTAATCGATGAAAGTGCGCTCTCGAAGAATATTTATAACCAGTAAGAATTAATAAGAGGAGTGACATTACTAAAAACGACTGAACATTGCTGGAAGAAGGAGAAGAGAACAGCCCAATTTATATTTAGACGGGAAAATAGTCACAGACGGGATTTCGTGTGACAGAATACCGTCTAAAAGGAATTTGTGGATCGCGCGGTAAATCGTGTTAACATCGCGACTGAACGTCGTCGTGATTTTCGCATCCAGAATGATTTAAGAGAGATTTTAGTCAAAGACGAGTTTTCCGTTTTATTTGCCAGTTGATTTGGACAGAAAAGTAGCTATATAGACGAGTAAATCTGAGATAGGAAACTCGTCCTTCACCGGATTCATATTAGATAAGTTTTCCGTCAGAAGACAAGTTTCCCGTCCAAGACGGCTTTAATTCCGTCTCTACTATGAAATCAATTCGGCAAATGTTAAATAAGCTGCTCGGTGGCTGCAAACGATGCACATCTGTTGTTTTTTTCTGAACAGCGCTCGTGGCCTTTGGCATGTCCTAATCCTTTCAAAATATGTCAGCAAATTTAACAAGTGTTTTTTTTTTAGTATTTCTTGTGCCAGCAGTCTTCTTTTTTTAAGTCAATGTATCGGAGCACTCGTGAATCTCGCCTAGCATATGATAAATTCCACCAAAAAATGTTCCCGACCAAAAATATCTGTTAGTTCAAGGCTTACTACCCACACTCCCATCTCTCTTTTGTAAGTGCGTCGTGTGATGATCTGCAATCTTGAAATTGATTTTTTATGCAAGGTGGAATAGTTTCAAATAAACGAATCTTTACATTTATTGATTAGGTCTTAAGAAATGCAAGGACTCTTGCTTTTCGCCTTGGGTTTTTATTTCACATAGTACGTGCCGATTGCATGTTTTGACGCGGTATTAATCCCCATTAAAATTTGTTTAAAACTTGCCCTCAAGGAAACTAATTGCTGCCGTTAATAGTTTTCCTAAGATAAAGCATCTGCCTTATTTTTCAACCCCAAATAAAAGAAAAATATATCGTCGGTTAAGGCCCCTCCAATCCCATAATACGCCGGAGTAAATTTGAAAACGCAGCGTTATTTCTACTGTTAGGCCTACCGTCCACACTGATCCGTCACTAAAGCGGAGTTTATCGAAAACGCTCTTCAAACCGAATTTGGAAACTCCAGCTTTGCGTCTTTAGTTTGGGCGGAAAACATTTTGAAAACGGAGCTTTGCGAAACGGTGACGTCAGACGATAATAATGTGATTTCCCTGACGGAGTCTTAATCAAACACAAATCCAAAATGACGGTGGTTGTCGTGGTTTTCAAATTTCTCCGATGAATATGTGGACGAAAAGCGTTTAATGCGTTTTCAGAGTTAAAACGCTGTTTCCAAATTTCACCGGATCTAGAGTAGTGTAAAGGGGGCCTAAATTTAAATACTATAATAATCTGCACGTGCAAGGGAAGAATTTTTTTCTCCAATCAAACTGTCCATGGAAACGGTACATAATAATAATAATAATAAATAATGATAATGACTTTTTTAACGTGTCAAATTGTTTTAATCGAGGAATAACCCTCTACTAATATAGGACACCTATCTATTAAGAGAAATTACAAAACCGAAGAACAATTTAAAAATTAGTGTATTTACAAGTTACAAAACATAAGAATAATTCAGAAATGAGTCTCACAAATTTCATAAAAGTACTGACAAAAAAACTGACGAAATTGTCTTCACAGTCTTAACAACTACAAATCCGCCATCGGTTGGTGTGTCATACAATCCGACACCGTTTCCAACATCCCAGTATGCGACATTGGTTGGTACACTTCCACCTGCCTACTGTTTGATATCTCTTAAAGGTGACGAGGGAACGTTTGGCGATAAGCTTACTTTGGAGACACCGCTGAAGCCATCTGAAAGCCCTACGCCGACGACTGTGCCGACGTCCTCGCCGTTACCTTCAGCAACTACACCCACGACTACACCTACCAGCCCACCCGAGACCACAGGCAGCTGTGTTAAATACAAAAAATGGAAGATCACAGTTCGTAAGGAGCACTTCGTAGAGATGACCCTTGAAAGTATCAATCTGGGTCCTGGAGCATGCCTGTATAACATGTTTTTGATTGTAAAGGATGCTGATGCCATGTCAAGTAATGTACTTCATATTCAATGTGAAGCAGATGCTGTTCCTCGACGTATATGGTCCAGTAGCAATGTAATGGTAGTAGAGAGATATGGCAGGAGTTCACGATCGACTGCAAATACAGGATTCCATGCAAGCTACCAAGCAATACCTTTAAGCAAGGGAGGTCTGTATATCGTTTATTACCAACCCAAATTCGCACTTAGCCGATCCGAAGCCGTGTCGACTGCCCTGATATCTTTCAATATCAAGTCACTGACTTGATCTGGCCACGATATCACGGTCACTTGAATGAGTTTGAGTACGGTAAATACCTAATCGTACCTTTTTGGTACGCTTCGCCTGCATATCAGGCTCGTTTGGTCTCGCTATGGGTATTTTGGCTCGACTACTTCTCGTCAAAATACGAACCATGCCTCGAACAAACTCGCCTTACATGTATATGCCACCGAAGCCCACCAAAAAGGTACGATTAGGTATAACTATTTGATAGATTATTAAATGTAGAATTTTCCGTGATAGAAAATAATTTCAATGGACATGACAATGATTACATTTTTATTGGCTGATCTGCACACTTTGCACAATTAACCTTTGTCAATAAAGCACAATAATGCGGGGGAACTAACAACACACGACCCTGTCTAGATAGATGATTAACAATTTTTGCACGAGGTTGAGTGAAAGGAACTTTATTCAAAAATAAGAACAAATGTAAAATGCCATATCCAAAAAGACGTTTAAGATTGCGTGAACGGATAAAATGTACTCGGCCGTATTGCCTTTATCCGTTTTGGTCAATTTTATGGCATCATAATCTGATCACGTGACTTATTAAAAACATGATCATGTTATCCATGGCATGAACTTAGTCTTGTGAAAATTTTGTATTATTAGACAAAATCTGTTGATGGCTATAGGTCATTAACTATTTCTCCCCACGTCCCAGGGTGTTGTGAAGATGACTTTTAAAAACACATAGACACTCAAGAGGGGTGTACTTTGAGGTGCTGTAAATTTCCATGGCCCCCTTGGCCAGCTCCACTGCCACCCCATTATTATTCCCTAAGGTCTAAAGAACATTACTGGGTGAGTCAAAGTCTGCCAGCTTGTCGAGTAAACGAAATCATTTTTTAACCCCTTTTCCCAGCGTGGACACCCGGACTAATTAGTAACTTTCTCAAATCGGTTGAAATTTGGTATGTAAATTCAGTCGTGACAGTTGTATTTTCAAAACGGCCAAAAACAAAAAAGACAAAACTTATTTACTTCAAGAAGATATATAGCTCAGAGAAATGATCAAAGAGTTAATTACAAACTGTATGAATATGAAATCAAAGCAAGTTTCCCCTCTTTCTGTACTAGCCTGTTGAAAATGCTTAACGTTTCATAAATTCCATCGGCCATCTTGGTTGATCGAGCGGTATTTCGAACTTTCCTTAATTTCACAAAAATGTGAACTCGCTGGACCCTTTTAAAGTATATTTCTGAAAATAGTTCAAAAAAAGGGTCTTTTTGACGCAATAATAAAAAACAAACTTTCGGTTTTACCCTCTTCTGTATCGAGCGAATAACTGAATAGATTTTTCTACAGGCTCTCCTAAATGCTTTATTGCTTTTTTTCCACAGAATCACCCAACTTTCAGTCAAAGGTGGAAAATGTTACGATACTTTCTTCCTCGTCGTCAAACTTGTTTTGTCAAGCGAAGCGTGGACCTGCCCCTGTAATCACGTGGTACAAGAGTAGAGATGGAATAACGCATCAGATTCTACAAAATAGTACGAGCGTTATTTATAATTACGAGGTGTATTCACGGCGACTAGACGAGGTTAAGTGTGTGGCAAGGAACTCTTTCGGGTCGGACGACAAAAGATTACTGGTTAACACGCAAGGTATAAGCAAAGGGATGCCATTTATGTTGTGTTTTTATTATTTGTATCGCATATGCATGTGTAAGAAAGTACGTATTCAAGCCATCTAGTCATTGTTCACCTTGAAAGAGTCACATCTTTTCCCTTCGTCGTGTCCTTTGCGAGGTAATGCGTCAATTACCTCGCTAAAGTATTCCGCGAATATCTGGCTCTGCCAGGGTATCTTCTTATCTGTGCCGTTAAGTCCATGATGTGGTGTAATTTATGCAGTCATGTTTTCAACATCTATGAATTTTTCTTTCAGATTGCTCAAAGATATGCAGTTGTTATGTGCCGAGGTCGGATCCTTTTTGGATCCGAGTTGATTGCATTTATATGTCGTACCTAGGTGTATATACGGTCCCACAAGACATACCTGATGCAGCCAAATACTTGTAAGTTGCATTGCTTAGTCATAATAGCCTCGGTGTATAGGTTCTTTTATTGCAAATCCCAAAAAGAAGTTTACGTGAACCTCCTTACCTGAGCCATTACAAGGCTCAAGCAAAGTATTTAATCCAAATTGTTAATGTTACCAAAGTTTGGAATTAAATAAGTGTTTTCTATTGGAAATAATACTTTTCTGAAATGGTTTGAAAGGGAAAGTTGAGTTTTTATTTCTGCAACGGGGCTTGGGAAAACATCTCACTTCTTCCCTTATGAGGGTTATTACAGTCCATTTCATAGAGGGTGTCCAAGGGGTTTTGGAGAACAAGGGAACATGAATATTTATTCCAAGTGAACAAAGGATATCTCTACTCTCAAAGAAGACGAAACTTTGAAAGGAAATTTAGGGAACAGTGGAATTTATCTAAAAAGGGAACAAGAAAGAAAAAGCGAACTTTTCAATAGGGTAATGGAACATGCCGATCCTCCCTCCGGGGGAAGTCCTTTTGATAGTGGTCGCAAGGAGAAAACAGGGCCGGGTCGTTCAAAGCCCAATTGAGCTAACACAAGATTAGCGAGAAGTTTGATTTCGGTTTTTGACTTTTCGGTGAGGTTTTAATTCCCGTTTACATTGTTTGTCAATCAGTTTTGACTTGGTATAATCTCAAACCAAACAAAACATAAAGCAGTGAAAAGCATTTTGATACAAGAAAAATTAATTCTCCGGTTAACTTTTAATCGCGGCCCAGCACTGTACATGTAACAATAGCTCTATCTATTCGGTTGTGGCCGGGACCCTTTCGATTTCGTCATCTTTCCTTCTATAACTGGACAGAACAGGCAACTCGAGGAGGTACTCTATGCGTTTAATAAGTACGCTTGTTTATGCGGCTCGGACGCTATTTGCACAAAACTTGTAAATGTTTGTTGTTGTTTTCAGGTTATTTCGCTGGAGCGATAGTTTGAGGCATATTATTCCCGGCTCGATGGGATACTTAACTAATTTACAATACTTGTAAGTAAAACTTTACCTCGAAGCATCAATCGAGACATGCATTGTGAGCCATGTCAGCGAGTCAATCGTTAATGATTTTTGTTAACTTTGGATAGGGTGCTCGAAAGTACTTGGCTTAGCAACTTGACAACGAATGCGTTTCTGGGACTCAAGAAACTGAAGTATTTGTAAGTATTTCGGAGCTGATTCTGCTAACATAGTGAGCGTTTTTCAGTGATAAACATCATTGAAATCGTACATGAACTGCCAATAAAGTGTTTTTTTTTAAATGCAATTACAGTGTAATTCCAATTTTAAGACCCCTAGAAAAAAAAAACCCAGCTCTTTACGAGCAAGAGCATACTGGCAACCTCCGTACTACTGGTGTATTAAGTAGGCCTCCTGGCCGAGTGGTCAGGGCTCCCGGAGGTCGCAGTTTCGTGTCCCGCAATGACAACTAGCTAATGTTGTTCTCTGTAGTCCCGAGTTTAACTCCTCCTGCCAGGTGGGATTTGTAGCCATGTTATGTTAATTTCATTGGCCCTGAAAATCCCCATTGAGGAGTGGTCAGTTTATCAATATATTTATTTTGGTTATTGACCTCCGCGTTACTCCTCCAACACACTACGAGAGACTCAAAATTGCGTATGACAAGTTGCGAACCTCATATATGTACCTTGCATAAAATTAGAAACAAAGAAATCAAATGTTATTTGCGTTTAAGCAACCGAAATTCAACAATCTGGTAAAATTCTCGAGCATCAAAAATTGTCATCGAATTATAGAACGAAACCAAGAGGGCCAATCGTATGTTTTTTTGGTTATTTATTGTTACAATCTTTCTGCCTGATCTTCGATTGCCACTTGTGAAGAAATTTTAATTTAGATATAATTCTTCTAACAGCACTTATTACTTCTATCTTGTTTACTTCAGGGAAATTACGGAGCATAATTCAAAACCGTTCACAATTTTAGAGGGGGCATTCAACGACTTGTCTTCCTTGAACTATCTGTGAGTTGATGGACACAAATAACTGAATAGTAAAGAGCTACTACGAACAGCTTGTTATCAAACTTATTTTTCTTTTTAGGCACAAGTGGACTGAAAAGTGTATGGCACCGTAGTAAAATCAGCAATCAATATCTCTCAACAAGTTAAAAATTACTACTAAAAGAAATCAACCAAAAAAGTAACAGTTCTTTAGTGGTTTTGATCATCGAGTAAAGGTTTGATTTGCGAATCTTTGGCGACTCCAAGAAACACCGTTGGTTCAAAAGTTTGAGCTTGGCAAGTCTCTAGATTGTAAAGCAAAATAATTTCCTGCTAAAGCCCACGCGCTTGTTGGATATGACATGATTAGGTTATTTGGCGAGATCATTCAATGTGTTATCACGGACCTCCAGCCCACGCTAGTAAAATGCTTTTATAAAATGTTCGCGGCTTGTTTCCATTTAAAGCGGCAACGTCATGGTGTTGTGCAGAAATGCAATATGTTTAAATTTGACCTGTTTTTGCTTACTTTCAGGTCTATTCAACATAACCGGATTAGTGACCTCTTGCCGAAAGTCTTTAATGGTCTTTTGTCTCTCAAAGAACTGTAAGCATGTCTTGTTGTCCGGCTGTAATGGCAAATGCGTGGCTATAAAAGTTTTCGCTACGAGTACTGCAAGCTCCCTCCATCCAACTTCAGAACGTCACTCAGCGTTTTACTTTACACTTATGAATTATTAAGATGAAATCCGATAGGGAATCGAGTAATTTTGGTTTTCCGTGACAAAAACCTAGTACCAGAATAATTTTAAGTATATTACAAACCTTTTTGCATTTCCTAAAAGCTAAAGATATAAATAGTAGGCTGAAATAACACCAAAGACAGCTGCCTATGGAATCCCGAGAAAATAAATTGTAAGAATCAGAGAAATTGTGCAGCAACAGGTAAAATTTCGACATCAGTTTCGTTGTACTAGTACTTTCAAGCGTTCTTATGAACTTCAACAATTGTTTTCGACATTTGGTCTTGTTAGAAATAATTTCTTTTGAGAAGATATTTAAAACAGTCGCGCGGAAGTTTGTTATACGATGTAAATAATCTCGATACGAAGTTCTTGGCCATTTGTTACTCGAACTTCTGAAATCTTTTTGCACCTCTCTTAGCTTTAGCATAGTCCTATTATATCTGACTGGCTCCAGTCCACACTGCTGTTCTCTGAACAAAAGCCAAAATGGTACAAAAAGCCAAAATGGTGCAAAAAGTCAAAATGGTACAAAACATGTCAAAATGGCACAAAAGGCCAAAATGGTACAAAAAGTCAAAATGGTTGCCTGGAGAAGAGTTTCATTTTGTCTCGAGATTAATGAAAAGCTACTTCATTTTTTTGTAGGATCTTAAGTGACAATGACTTGTATGGAATCTCAGTGGAAATCAACAAACGGCTCGAAAAACTGTAAGTAAAAGGATGTCATTGAAAGCGAAATGAGTTTGAGTTATAAGAAAATGACTACGGAAGAAAGAGAAACGTTTTTCAAAGTTTTGTATCTGTTTTTGTTTTGAAACAGACAAAAACGAAAACTATGCACTAAAACAAAAGTTCCAGTATTAGATCACGAGAAATCTTAAGTTGTTGTAAATAAAAGTCAGTCAGGCCACGTACTAACTATATTGCCAGAATAGAAGTAACTAATGAGACCATCAGAGAGTGATACAATACTGTTATTGATGCCATCTATGTATAAATAGTATACTAAAACTAATGACTTAACTCAACTCGACTCATTACAGAATAGTAAATATTACGTAGTTTGGACAAAAACTTGAAAAATACGTCTTGGGCAATGATAGGTCATAATGACGCCCGAGGGATTGTATCAGCATTTCACATAAAGTACGCACGCACTATGCATAGAGGTTTATGGCACTAATTGGAAAGTAGCGTCCATGCCGTGATTGGCTTCGCTAACATTACATCACATGTTATTCACAGGACACTTGAGTTTCTATGTGTATGCATGGGAAATGGAAGACTGATATGCAAAATAGATGCACGACCGTGCGAATATCTGAATTATGCATCTCTCTTTTACGAAAAGCACAACTTTGGGCCCGACGATCTTCTAACTGCATTTCAATGCAAGATATGATTTCCGAAAACACTGGGATATACTTGAAATTATTAATAGAAAAAGTATTTTTTTTATTTACACACAGGGATCTGAGGAGTAATAAGTTAACAGGCCTTTTTGAAAACAGTTTTCGTGGCTCAAGGAGCTCGGTGAAATACTTGTAAGTACTTGAGACAATCTGCTTTAGCTTTGGAAACCCTCTTTACATATATCGATAAAATGCAACCTTAACTAAAGGTAAATAGTTCTTGAAAAGACGTAATCCCCTTTCGCTGCTAAATACAGTCACCTAACGTAACACTGATGGTGAACACAGCATGAAAACATAGTTCTACTGCTTCGTAAGGTTGGCGTAATGCTGTAGTAAATTTCTAACTTAGGCAGTCTTTATACGCTTTACAGTTTCAAAACTAAGCCGTAGACTAGCTATACACTCATGTTTTAAGCTTCCTTAAAGAGACCAAACTGTTTTAAGCGAACTTCAAGTATTTGCTTAAAGTTCCTTGCATGCCAACTTTAAGGATTTTCGCGCTAATTGTTTCTGCGAATCCTTACTGCGCACGAAAATTCAGACGCCACGTCATGCAGGAGAGCGCCCTCTGAATAATAAAATGAACAATGATAGGGTAGATGGTCATTGCTATAGCTTTGCCTGGATTTAACGATCTTGGACGTTCGGTGACCCCTACTTCACCTTCCAGAAACAGATTTTATTTACAATTATCTCTGCATTGTTCCAAAATGAACAAAAAAGTCAATGTGGGAAGTTAAAAAAAATTCAAGATTTCTGTCCACGGGACATCGAATCCTGTCATCTTGCGGTTGTAAGGCGCGTGAAACTATGGTCGCTAAATGCGAACTTGTTCTTTAAGGAACCTCACCAGTTGACTAAATATACTTAATAGGTCCACTTAACAATATTTGGTAGCGAGCATTTCACTTGAAAGATCTAATTGCAATAATTTTGGGCTTACAGACACTGTGGCCTTAATCGCTAACGAAGCCCGATTTTTGCAGATTTAGGGTGGTCTTCCGGGATTGTTCTCACCATTACTAAGTCGGTGACCCCCATCTTTTTTACATTTCTGACATAACTAACTCATCATTTTACAGTGGTAAAAGTCTCAGAAAAAAAAAAATCAATGTTGGAAACTTCAAGCGCGGTAGAGTAGAAATCGGCTTTGAAAACCTTCAACAACATTTAAGTTATTGCATGAACCTGTACGACCAACTTTTACGAGATTAAAGCCAACTTCAATTTTCCGTAAATCTCCATTTTCACGCTGGTAAAGACTCCTTATTACCCTTATATTGTCACTTTTTCAGAGACCTACGTTCAAATTCACTAACTACAATATCAGCGAAGACATTTCAGAATTTTTCTTCACTGAGAGAACTGTAAGTAGAACGTTTGTTGTACTGAGATGTTTGGCGGAAAGTGGAGAGTATGTGAAACACTAATCGACACCGTAACTAATTACCTTCAGGATTGTTCCTCATTTTCTTTACACACTCATGATTTTTAAATTAAACTTCTTTTTTTACAATTGGTATTAAAACGTTACATTCCCTGAGGATTGTTGACGTATTTGGTTTTTATATATTTATACCTCAATTTTCAATCTCATATTTATCAGGTATCTGGCGGATAACCGGTTGATTGAGCTTTCCCCCGAAATCTTTCAAGACCTCACTGATCTGCGAATTCTGTAAGTATAACCAGAATAGTTAGTGTCCAGGTCCCTTATCTTAGCTTCTTTGCTTTACGGTTTATAAAGTTTACAGTTGTTGGAAAAGGTATTTCAAGTAAAAACAAAAGGGAAGACATCTTTGTAACAGAGGACCCGATCAGGCCATTTCGTCATTATATTTTATACCTCAACCTAAATTAATTTTGCAGGCAGGACACTTTTCAACACGTTTTTAAAGAAAGATATCTTTACGTCTTGGACATCAAACGCTTGGAGAAAGGTTAAGGGGTTGGCATGTCCATAAAATTAGAAAGATGTACTGGATCCCAATAGGAGACAAAGTATTCAGTCACATATAGAAGATGTCTGTGGCTCTGTGTTTTTTTAAGTGTTTATCAAATACCGCTCATGTACTGTCGATTATACCAAATGCATATGATATGTGTCATTTGCCGGTCGGAAGTTCCATTATGAAGTCCTGAATACTACGGCTGAGGGCCGCACTCGAGACCTAGGGTAAATTTTTTTCCTATATCGACCGACCTAGTCCGGCAAATAACGAATTATTTTTACTTTTTTCATTTGGTAAATAAACCTTGGTGTGCTTAGAAGGTTGCTTCGCAATATCTGTATGATTGCGCCCAGGTCCTCGCAAGTGTCGTTGTTCAATGTCACTAATAAACTGAAAAAAACTGCGAAATGAAAGACTGAAAACTGACGAGAAAGTCTGAGAAACAATCTTACACTAAGATTATTTAATAACAGAAAGTCCAGTAGATAGCTATAGACACCAACGGGCGTTATAAACTACACCACTGAGTCACAGCTATTATTTCTTCTAACCTAAGGCTTTAGGACCTCAGCGTTAACAAAGGGGCAATGAAAAAAATTCTACGAGACATAGCATATGCAGCAATTTACAATTTTCATTGATTTAAAAGGAAAGGAACCTTGGCAAACTGTTCACGTATAGATTTTGGTTCTTTTCAACAGCACAACTGTTTGGAGTAAATAATATTAATACTTCTCGAATGAAACTTGATAGACATTTGGCTTGAGGGAAAAACAGGAATAAAAAACAAAGAATTTGAACTCAATATTTTACTTAATATACGGCGATTTGAATTTCAATTAAAAACCGTACCTGTTCCTAAACTTTTTCGATCGAGGGTACAACTGACTTCCAAACGAAAGCACAAAATGAAAATTGCGTAAAATTAAATTTTGTCGATTAATATCAATTAAATGCTCATGGTAAGGGCTAAGTTATTCTAACTGGAAAATTTTTGGTGAAATATTTCAAATATTCCCCGAAATGAAGCGTAAGCGAGATCGTAAATTTCCGCCCACACCCGGAACCAGTCAGATTGCAGGATTTACAGAATTCAGCCCGGACACGCACTCAAGGAAAAAGAGCTAATATCTCAGTAAGACATGATAAATTCATCGGTACGTGATTGTATTAGCCATTAAGTCTGATAAGCGAAAAGATTAGATAATGTGTATATTAAAGTTTCGCATTATGGTAATCGATCGTTTTAACCTCACCATATCACCTGCATCGACAAAACGTGCAG